GGGATTACTTTTTGGGGGAAGTAATCAGTAATTAGTTACTGATTACTTTTTTCAAGTAACTTGACCAACACTGCTGGCTACAGGTTTTGTTTTCTTTCTTCCCCCCTCGCTCTCCCTTGCTTCTCTCTGCCTGGGCGGAGCTCATTACTGGGTGGAGCTCTTGGCCCATGCACCTGTGTGATTGTCATCACCTGCTGCTGATCTGGCTGATTCCCCAGCTACTATTTAAGGCAGTGGCACAGAGCAGCTCACCGCTGGAACGTTGAGTGGTGGTGACTGAGCTGAAGTGGAAGCGTGTGTGTGGATTACCCCCTTCTCACTGGACCCCCTCCCAACTCACTGTACATATAAAGCTCTGAGGTTCCATATTGTAAATAAACCGTCTTCGTTTGTGTGCAAAGACTCTGTCTGCGCTTGAGTCCGTCCAGTAGCCATGACAGCTTTGCCTTCTGGCTCACCTCTGTCTTCATCACTGCAGTCCGGTACAATGCCTTCATTACTCTGCACCAATGTGCTGGTCCAACTCCAAAAGGTTTAAGGCTTCTCCTTGACTTGAGCCAACCTCTCTACCCCAACCCATAGGAAGCTTTCGACTGTTTTCCAGCCAATAATCATGGTATCAGTCTTGGAGGTTCCAACCTCAGCCCAGTCAATACACACTCTCCAAGTCTACAAATCAAATGTAGGCTGAATGGTCGAAGTCTCATCATCCTTCCATCCATCCTGGAAGGGTGAAGATCTGGACCACTGTTCCACAACCAGGTCAGAACCTGCATTTCTACTACCACGTCCAGTTTTCAGCAGTTGGCTGGATCTTCTTTCCCTGCCGTCTAGAATAAACTTTTCCCAGGAGACTGAGCAGAGCCATGCCCCGGTAATTGAAGCACACCCTCCGGCCCACCTTTTCAAAAATGGGAATCGCAGCCCGGATCTACCATTCTACAGGCACCAGATGAAATCAAATATAAACATAAAAGAGGCATTACAGTGTTAATACTTACATGCTGATCGCCCTTTTTTGCCAACCAAATGCTTCAAGCTCCCCCCTGACCTGGCTCACTGAGAGTTCTGGTTTCGCCAAGGTTCAGCTGTGTGGCAGGTAAGGCAGGACTCAAACCCAGCACTTGGAAACCTAGGGGTTTTCAATTCGGGGCGAAGTTAAGCAGCTTGAACAGATTCATTCTTTCTCTTCTATTAATCTCTCTAGTGCAGGGGTCGGCAACCTTTCTGATGAGTGCATCTAAAATTTCCTCAGAAGTCAATGTGCCATATGAATTTAATAACACTCTATTAACAGTTACACATTATAAAGAACAACTTGGAATTACATTTGTTCGCAGATGTTGGCAGCTGTCAGCGAATAGTTCTCAGCTATTTGGAAACAAAAATAGACACTTTAACATGAACATAACAGCAAATGAACCGTACAACAGCAAATGCAAATGCTATTTATGGTCTCCTCACAACAGTGATAAGAAAAATAAACTGGGCCAATATGGCATGTTTGTTAATACAGGGATACACATGTTACTGTGATCTCTGGTCTCCCACTGAGAGACACAGGTCTCCCAGTGTCCAGCATTCAGACGACACTTACAAATGTGTGCAATATGATCCAGAAATGTAAAGTTGTCTCTACAAATGTGCACGAGTGTGTTACATTTGAAGCTTTGACCGCACCCGCTTCCATTTATAAACACGTGAAAGAGTCGCCTGAGACTGAATGATCATGTGACATGCCCACCTGGCTTTACGTTTCCGTGACTTTAATAATGAATGTTTCCTACCTGGAGCTTATCTTGAATATCATGTTTTTCCTCTTTTTATTAACATTGTGCTTCTTTTTAGTACAAGTACAATCCATCCATAAACAAGTAAGATACTCATGTCTTACAATTGTTAGTTTTAACCATTTTAAAAACGAACAACTTAGGGCAAAATAAGCAAAAAAAAAACACAATGCAGTGCAATACGAATGTTTTGTTTTTTAGACCAAATCCCTTATACAGTTACAGACTCTGATGAGGAGCAACCTCCAAAATAAAGTTTCCTCAAGAAAGTGCCAGGTAATAATGTAATGTTTAGTGTGTGTATATATATGTGTGTGTGTGTGTGAGAACAGGAACCTTTGTAGACGAGTTGTGTGTTAATTTTTTAAACATTTTTCTAAACAGCCTCGGCCGTTCGGCAGTCTGCCCCCAACATGATGCCCCGGGCAGCTATGCGACCTCCCCAGCAAATAGTCTGTGTTCAGTTCCTTCTCTGACGACGGTATGAACGATAACAAGCTGCATCACAATTTCATTGTAATCTTAACTTCAAAACACAAATTTATGCTGCTGAATGTCATCATATTTTGCTTGTTTAGATTTCTGAGGCAAGTTCTAAAATGTTGTACTTTGACATTTTGCATAGGATTTCATGTATGTTAAAAGGCTAAATTGTAAACAGTTTTAACAGATTGAACTACTCAAACCTAAATGCAAAATGTGAAAAATTATGGATAGTTATGTATATTTTTTTGTCATCACAATGCTTATCCAGTTTATCACAAGCCAGTATTTGTTGTGTTATTGTTCTTTTCAACAGATGCAGCCTTCCAAAAGCTTATAATCATGGTGACAGAGCTGATCAGAGAAGTCGGGGACCCCGGCCAGGAGTTCAGAGCCTCCGTTAATCCTGCAGCACTGAACCTGTTGATGCTGGGGTATTGCCTCTGGATTAGCCTTTGCACAACATGGATGAGATGAACAACTCTGCAATGACTGGAGGCAAATGAAGCAATGGTCAGTTCTTAAAGGTTATGTGACTTTTGTAACCCAGAACTTTAGAAATTGTCAAATTCAGTTAAACTGCTTAAAAATGTCGTCAAGCAACTTAAAGAAGTCCAGACGCTTTTCTTTCCAAGCTCCTTAGACTGCTTAAAAATGGCCTTGTCCTGTATGTTCTGCTTGAATATACAACAGCAGGCTGTCATTGGAAGATCTAACAAGCAGGAATAAAAATGCATTTCACTGCAAATAGTTTTTTGCCTCTAGAAAATTGGGCTTTGAGCTTTTCAGCTAATGGGCTCTTTGGGAATCAAAGTCAGGCAGCAGTTTACTGATTTCTGCCTTGTGACTTTCATCTTAATCAGCCTAGTAGTTTAGATGCTTTCTCCCTGCTGAAGACAACTGACAAGAGGTTATTCATATTTAAGCTCTAATTTGGCCTTTTTTCCTTCTTTCTGTTTGTTTGTGTCCTAGATGGCCTGACTCAGCACGTGGGGGTAAACGCTGTTTCTGAGTTTGCCTTCGCCCAAGCAGAGCAGAAATGTCTCCACTACGCTCCAGATCAGATGGGTGGTGCAGAATGGTCGATATTCAGCCCGAACCCCGAGTAAATTAAAAAAAAAAAAAGTGACTTGTAACCAATAGGCCTACATGTAACACAACTTTTTAAAAAGTATAATAAATTACTTTGTTATTGATACAGAGATGTCTTTTTTTTTGCATATAATGGGTTTCCTGTTTGTGGATCATACACAATTGTCTTTTTTGCAGGTTTAAGTATTGCTGGTAATTTGCAGCAGTTTAGTATTGATAGAAATGCCTATTAAGTACAGTTTTTTAAGTACTGAGTTTTAATCATGATTTTATTGTTTCAATAGTAACTAAGAGTTCAGTGATTCAGTATCAGACTCTAACATTGTTTCAACATTAACAGTGTTTGACAGTTTGACGTTAAAACAATGTCAGCGTTCAACATTGATTCAATATCAAATTCTGATGTTTCAACATTAACAGAGGGTGCAAACGTGACGTTACATCAATATCAGATTGATTCAATAGAATTGCCTGATATTGATTTAACATTGTTTCAATGGATATTTTCTATCTGGGATTGTTCCCTCATCCACCTGCTGTCTCGTGGAAGCTCTGCTATAGCCACACAGCAAAATCTCCAGTGTTAGATTAACACTGGAGATTTTGCTGTGCACCACCAAGAAACTGAGTTATTTTTACACATCTGCCAGCATCTGGGCAATCCACCACTTTTCATTGTTTATACCGTTCCCAACGACAAAAAAAAAACTATCGGCCCATAAAAAGGAAAAATCCCCATCAGGGTGATTGCCTGATGGCCAGTCGAGCTATGGTTAGCGATGGTTAGAGCCCACTCCTATCATATTTTTCAGTAATTAACACTTCAATAGTAAATATGAACAAGTCATCTTTATGAACCAGCTGTCGTCTTTATTCATTTTCTCCTACTTCCTGTTCTGATCTTTATTCTGCAAACCTGTGTCCAGTTTGCTCATCACCTGTGTGTGTCAAATCACAGTTTTCACGTTGTTCCTGTTTCATGATCATTTTTTATCATGAAGACAAAAGCCAGCCTTTCATCAGCCATGTGGAGATGAGGAGCAGCAAGAAGCAGTGAGGTGTGGTGGAGGTGAGTGACCAGCAGAGGGAGACATAACTCAGAGGGCTCAGCTTCCAGAGTGAGGGATGCTGGGAGGAGGAAGAGGAGGAGGTGACACCAGCAGAGGCTGCAGAGATGCTAACAGCTCAGACACACAAACACACTCTGGCAGGAGCTAACTGCTAACACACGCAGAGAGAGACAGACACACACACACAGGCAGAGAGACAGACAGACACACACACACACAGGCAGACAGGTAAAGGCAGGCTGAAGCTGGCAGCACACACACTTTGTGTGAACTAGCTGCTGTTAGCATGCTGTGGAGAGAAGGCTAATCTACTGACACACACACACACACACGCAAAGCAATGCAGTGTCCAGGGCTTTCAATTGGACGGTGAGTGATTTATCAGTTAGACCCTTAGGTGTGTGTGTGTGTGTGTTAATATGTTGATGACAACTGCTATGTGCTGCTGCTGTTGCCATGGAAACAGTCATGTATTTGTTCTGTCAGAGAAGTCACCTGTCAGACATCGAACATGTGATCAGTGCCAGGTGAGTAAGAAGGTGTGTAGCTGTGCAGCCACAGTTGCAGAGTGCTCCTACCTCTGTGTACTGCTGGGTACAGCAGTATGCAGCTGCGCTACCACACTGAAGTCTAGTTCTCCTGGAACCTGCTCGCTAGAAGTTTAACTTCCAGGGAAAAAAGCTTCTTTATTTTGGAATGACGTCAGACACTTACAGAGGTTTTCATCAGATTTATCAACCATGATTCTGGTTTTGGTTTCCTGCGCTGGATGAGGTTTTTGTGTTTGATTGATTGCTCTACACTCTTGGTGTAACTGCAGCCCATGGCCACCAAACGTTAGAACGCCTCAGAAGAGAATCCCTGTCAGTGTGGACGTGAAGCTGTGTGCAATCTAAACCATGCAGCAGATTAATGACTGTCCTCATGTTGTGGATATTCTCAGACATTCTCTTGGCAGACGTGTGGTCCATCTTTGGGATATTCTTCAGTAGTTTGGGTTGGGATCATCACTGATGGCAACTAGGAGTTAATGCAGTGTTTCAGAATAACTACCCAGATAGCTGCCTGGAGAGATCTCAGCATGGTCACCAGTAGTGTAGTAGTGTGACGTGCTTCTACTTACACTGACTGTGTGTTCTTGGTTGTGTGTGCGAGCACAGGTGCAGATGTAGTCAAACCTCAGATTGACAAACACTTGAGTGGGGGGCGGAGCCTGCAGGTGGTGATGTCAAAGCGAGGAGCAGGAGGGCGGGGTAAGGGGGAGCGACTGGACACCATGGCAACTCTTCAAGCAGCCAATGAGGAGCTCAGAGCAAAACTGACAGAGATCCAGATCGAACTACAACAGGAAAAGAACAAGGTAAGGACTACAAAACCCAGAGTATCCCAAAAAGTTGACCCTGTTTATTTGGACGTTTTCAGTGGGAGAAATGTTTCATCATCAAGTGACGTCTTCAGTCTCTGCTGACTGCAGGTTTCCCCAAACTTATAGACAGTTCATTGCACAATAACTGAAAGTAGCCCACTGAATGAACAATGGGCTGTGAGTTCAGTTTATGATCATTAGTATGCAAAGTGACATGACCACTGATCAGTGTCCATGAGTACCTTTCACAGAGAGTTGGAGAATGGCTGCAATCACAGCATTGTAAGATGGTAAAATGGTAAATGGCCTGTATTTATACAGCGCTTTACTAGTCCCTAAGGACCTCAAAGCGCTTTACACATCCATCCACACACACATTCACACACTGGTGATGGCAGCTACATTGTAGCCACAGCCACCCTGGGGCGCACTGACAGAGGCGAGGCTGCCGGACACTGGTGCCACCGGGCCCTCTGACCACCACCAGTAGGCAACGGGTGAAGTGTCTAACCCAAGGACACAACGACCGAGACTGTCTAAGCCGGGGCTCAAACCGGCAACCTTCCGATTACAAGACGAACTCCCAACTCTTGAGCCACAATCGCCCCCATGGTGACAGATGGACCCTTAGGCCCCCTCCTCCATTCAGAGATGGTCTTTCCTCTGACTCCGCCCTCAAACCAGCGTTCCTCCCTGTCCAGGATGTTACATCCTCATCATTGAAAGAGTGTCCACTGGCCTGTAGGTGTGAATAGACTGCAGAGTCCTGGCCTGACGAGGTGGCTCTGCTGTGTTGTGCCGTCCTCTTAGCCAGAGGTTGTTTGGTTTCCCCGATGTATAAATCCTGGCACTTAACAGCGCACACTCTGTTACTCTGTGGGGGGAAACTGACCTCACAGCCCATTGTTTATTCAGTGGGCTGGTTTCAGTCATTATACAAATGTCCTGTTTATAAGGATGTAAACCTGCAGTCAGCTGAGACTGAAGACGTCACCTGGATGATGATGAAACGTCTCGCCCACTCAAAACATCCAGATGAACAGAATCAAACTTTGGGATTTTCTTACCTGGATGATTGAGTATGCATCAAGAAAAAACTCAGAGTACCACAAAGATTACTGCAAAACTTTCACAGTACTCAGAGTAATGTAATGATAATACTGAGTACTGTAGGTGAGCCGACTGGAGAGGGAGAAAAGTCAGGAGCTGAAGGCAGAGCATCACCGGGCGGCGGTTGCTGTGACTGAGCTGAGGACCAAACTCCACGAGGAGAAGCAGAAGGAGCTTGCACTCACCCGGGAGACGTTACTACGGCAACATGAGATGGAGCTCATGAGGGTCATAAAGATCAAAGATGGTGAAATCCAACGTCTTAATGGACTGGTGCTCACCTTAAGGGATGGATCCACAGACAAGGTGAACCACCTAAAGCACACCTGTCCGTCACCATCCATCTGTCCATATTGTGTTCACTGCATTATTAAGCTCCTCCTCCACTGTACACACATATTATATGAACTTGGCCACGGTGATGTTTGTCTCTTGAGACAAATATATTTGGATGAGGGTGGAGTGCTAAGTTATCAGCTAATGCTAGCTAGCTTGGTTAACGAGTTGCACCTGGGTGCATCACACTGCACAAATGACATAAGAGTGAATTTAACTCAAGCATGGGACACAAGCAGGCCATGAAGCAGGCCAGCAGATCAGCTGTTCTCAGCTTCTGCACATCCCAGTAATAAATATCATTTACTGCTGCTGCCTCTGCAATTTCACTGTAGAAAAAATGTAGTCTGTTATGTTTAATTTCAAACACTTCTCATTTTAGGCGTAGTAGCTGTTTAACATACAACCCCTCATAATGTATTCCCGGTTAGATACCATATTTCTAAGCTTTTCAGGGCCGAGTACAATAACCTCAGTTTGATCTGAATTAAGAAGCAGAAAGTTAGCGGCCATCCAGGTCTTTATGTCTTTAAGACATTCCTGCAGTTTAACTCATTGGTGTGTGTTATCTGGCTTCATGGACAGATAGAGCTGGGTGTCATCTGCAAAATTTATGCTATGTCTTCTAATGATGCTGCCTAAGGGAAGCATGTATAATGTAAACAGAAGTGGTCCTAGCACTGAACCCTGTGGAACTCCATAATTAACCTCAGTGTGTGAAGAGGACCCCTGCAGCACAGTAGCTGTAATACCTGCATCTGGGCTGTATTCGTTCTTTACCGCCTGAGGACACCATTGGCTCTTTGTTCTCATGCTATTCAGGTGAGGAGCGCCCTGCTGGGGGAAGTGGAGGAGGCGAGAAGGAGCTGGGAGGCGGAGCGTTGTCGCTTCCAACACGAGATTCTTGAGCTGAGAGGAGCAAAGAGGAATGCTGAGGAGGCGCTGACATCGGCTCAGCAGGCCTGCCAGGCCAGAGCAGCCGAGCTGCGATCAGCTCATCATCAACACCAAGAGGAGCTTAACAGGACCAAGAGAGACTGTGAGAGAGAGATTCGCCGCCTGGTAGGAGCCTGTGACGCACACATGACTGTTTACACACTCATGATAGCTACACATAACCAGGCGCTGTGTGTTGAGGTGTCCGAGCGGCTCATCTGCTAATCAGAAGGTCGGTGGTTTGGATACTGAAGCGTCTGACATATCACAAACATGGACAGCTTTACTATTAGCATTACAACTAAAGGTAAACCTAGAAAATATAAAGAGGTTAAACACAGAAGACAGAATGAAAGAAACACAGCTGCTGCACACAGCACTTGTGTGCTGTATGAGCATGTCTTTTGGGTCCTCCTGCTCTGTTCGGCGCATTGGGCGCCAAGTCTTCGCCTGCATAATCGGTCAGCTGCAGCTGCTTCGGCCTCATCCCGTGCAACATCTAAGGTGGGTAGATGATCGATGAAAGTCCTCCGCCATGTTGCTTGGGGGCGGCCTGGGTTGCATCTTCCGTGAACGTGACGACCCTGGGCAGTCAGTGCGGGAGTTGGCGTAAAATGTGACCTCCAAAGCATGTGAGCACGTGTGTGCTCTAAACACTTTGTTCAGTATAATTGGAGAAGGTCTACTAAAATAATAAAGTTCAGCTCATTTGAAGACAGGAGACTAAAAATGGCGACTGTAAGTAAACAGATTTATCAGATCACAGCTCTGTCGTTAACACACAGTAGAGTTTGATGGATTAGAATTGAGTGTCTCACTATATTAATGTTTAAAGACAATTTTAGTTGTTTATTCTTCCACTGCAGGTTTGGTGGAGTTGTGTAATGTTCTGAGGAAAAAATAAAAACAGAATTTAAATGTAGAATTAGACTTCCTGCAGATTTATGCTTATTAAAAACTCAAAAATGAAGTCCCGGTTAAGATGAAATTCCCAACTGCTGTGACTCTGGAAACATGGGAATCATCAATCCAGCGGCATTTTTTTAAATAGAAAACGAGCTTGAAGGGTCGTTTTCTGTTTGGATGCAGAGTTTAAACCTGACCAAAGCATTGAGCAAGCAGCTGTCGTTGTGCAGTCAGTTAAAAATATTAAACCATAGACATCGTGCAACTTGTCTCTGAATAAGATGAAAAATGTGAAACTGGCAGATGAATGAGCCACTAAAACTGGAGCGTTCCTCTGGTGGAATGCAGTGAATACATGAGTAACACGGAGTGGTACGACACAAACACAGACTGGTGCAGTACAGAGGCTGAACACCGGCTCACTGAAACTCCGCCGGGGACAACGATGACCTAAGACATCAACCTAAGCTGCTGGCCCAACTTATTTCTCTCAAAGTAAAAAAATCTGTGATTTTATCACGTACACAGTAGTAACCAGATACGGTATCACGTACAAGGTTCATGCCTCAGGCCATGGAACGAAAACTTTTCAAGATTTCATTTTGACCACTGTCCTCGGTCCCGAACCCTCCCTCACATACTTCCTTTAAGGTAGAACGGACAAATTCGCACCCCAAGACTTTGTGTGGGTGGTTACCAGGTTACACTAATCTCACCTTTTAGGTTAGTGAGTAAGTAAACGTACTGCTCGCTTACATATGATGGGGTTGGAAGTTCACAGTAAAATCACAGATGCAAACTAGATCCAGCACCAAAGCAGCTGCACTAACATCCTGCAAAGGTTACCTGAGACATCAGCCAAAATAATTTATCATGGGCAGAGTCACAAAACTTTCTGACTCTAGCTTGTTTATGAGCGTGTGCACCTGCAGATTTCTCTGGACAAACCCGAAGCTCAGACACTCAGTGTGCTATACACGAGTCGTTCAGGTACAAAAACCACCTGCTTCATTTTACATTACAAAGACTAGAAGGTCGTTTCTGGACCTGACTCTCACTTGTGTGTTTGAAATAACCCAAGCCTCAGTTCTCACCCCTCACCTGTCTCTGATAAAACAAAGACAGCTGACTAACCTTGCGTCCTCTAATCTGTCTCGCTGTCTGTCGCTCACCTGTCCGTCTCACCTGTCTGTGTCTCACCTGACTGAAGAGAGAGAAAACCGAAGGACGTAGCTGACTAACCCCGTCTCCTCTAACCTGTCTCAATGTCTGTCTCTCACCTGTCTGTGCGCAGATGGATGAGATAAAGCTGAAGGACAGAGCTGTCAGTGTTTTGGACAAAGCCCTCGGTCTGCAGGCTGGACACGCCCACCGCCTCCAGCTGCAGACTCAGGCTGCTGAACAGCAAATTGCAGCCCTGAGAGATGCACAGAGGGCGGGGCTAAACCACCCCACTCTTAACCCTAACCCCAACAACGCTCCTCACATTGTAAGCTCCGCCTCTTCCTGCTTGTTTGAACTGCATGTGAAAAAGCCATCTCATTTGCTTCATGTCACAAAAGCCCCAGAGCATTACAGTGGGAGTTCCTGTTTGTGTTGTGCTACTGATTCATGACTTATATACTGTGTCACCCTCAGCTGTGTGCCAGGCACAAGCCTGCACCAGTGCAGAAACAAAGCAGATTCAGCAACCACTGGGACTGAGCCTGTCGTCATGGCTGCGATTGATGATTGTGACTTTAGTGATACAAGCCTGCTGTATTCACCGAATATTCACAGCACCACAGACCAAGCCGCAGCAGTCAAAGACAGGATAATACCTACAGAGCAGCTGGATGCTGCTAGAGATCAGCTGTTCACAGAGAGTTAAACTGGCACAGCATCTCTCTACTGTGGTGTCTGCAGTGTTTCCCTTCATTGTTCACATAGACCAGAAGGAAGGCAGCAGTTTAGCTAAAATAATCCAGCAAACATTCCCCAATGTCAGCTCTCAGGGGCTCTGTGTATTTTTTAACATCCCACGTCAGGCTCCTTCTTCATCAACTATCAATATACTCAACATTCACTGAGCCATCCAAAAACCTGCACAGGTGTATGTGTTCAGGTGACTAATACTGGGAGGACAAACAGCATCAGGGACCACAGCAAGTACCAATACCAAGACAGTGCTGTGGTCTTGTGTTGAGACAGATTTTTAAAATGTCACAAAACTGAAGC